ATATATATAAAAGATGGTTGAAGGAGAGATATGAAGATAATTCTTTAACCTATTCGAATCTCGATCCGAATTTATTGTTGGATATAAGATCGCCTGGTGAACTCGATAGAAATCAAGTTTATGGACTCTCTAATATTACGATTGAGAACTTGTAGGCAAACCTTAATGTTTTGCCTGTTAAATGCTCATAATTAGTTCTAAGCACTCAAACTCCATAATTCATGGTGAAGTTATACCAATTAGTACATGATTGGACAACCCATCTAAATGAAAAATATGAAAGACTCACTATTAATTATGAAGAACTTCATTGAATGATAATAAAGATGAGATCACAAATAGGTGGTCCATTTGCACCCTATAATTGGCCCCACAATCCTAGCAACGACCAGAATTCTCCTCCTCCTCTAATGCAACGTTTATTTTAGATTTATTGTATTTGAACATACAAATATTTAAATGTATAATAAATATTTTATTTTTATATTATTTCAATTTATTTGAAGTATTTTTCTACTTTTGTTCAATATATATTTTTTAAAATATTTTTAATAAGGTACAGAGGGTATTATTGGAACCTAGTCCATCAATATATTCAAGAGAGTTGAAAAATAATTACTGCAAATATTATTGCTCTTATTTATTTGCTGATGAAATTACATATAACAATTTACTGATAGATATACTAACAAACAAATTTAAAATACTGATGGAATTACATATGGTGGTTTACCGATGGACATACTAATGAAAGATTAAAATACCGAAGGACTTACATACATTTTTTATATTGATGATATGTTTAATTTATTTATAAATAAATATCTTGTACACAATATTAATGGGGGATAAATATCACTTACACAATGTTAATATTGATGAAAATATAATAAGCTTTAAAAGATTTTTATGTACCTATGGATATAGAGGGATGATCATTCTTAAATGAAATAAGACATATGGGAAAGTGAGTCAGATATAAGAAAAAGTATCTAAGCCTATTTTTTTAGATAGATATGAAATTAAATTTTAAGAAAAAAATTTTATTAAAAGGGGAGAATGTAAACCCCCTATAAAAAAAAGAATAAATAAATAACACATAAAAGAATAATAATAATGAATGTGGAGTTTGTCATCATGTACAAAGATTAATGAATGTGGAGTTTGTCATCATGGATGAAGACTCATGAATGTAAGGTCTATCATCGTGAACAAATACTAGTAATTAAAACAAATCTATTATGGATGTGGATCGATAAATATTAATTGTTGTTTGAATTTATGAAAACATACTAATCCATATGTACTTTTCATAAATGACAAAAACTAGAGGAAATATTATAGTTAAAACAATGAAATAAAATAATAAGGTTTGGATGAGTATGTAAGTGAAGAAATATAGAAATATATGATGAAGAAATATGGAAATATATGTAAAGATTCTATATAGGATGCAAATGCAGAAATCCTGCATAGATCTTCTGCTATTGAGAGATCCTCTACTAGAATTCTTCCTTCTATTTACTTTATGATTTTCATAATTCTTCATACAAATCATGTGTCTGTATGTGTAGTAAGAATCAATGACCTGTAATATATGTAATGCATATTTAAAGGAAAGAACAATATATAAAAATGCAAGTTCAGCTTTTTCTATATGGTATCAGAGCCTTCTACCTCTATGACATCTTCTTTCTTAGTTCAAATAATGTTCGTTGCTTTTTCTCTTGAGATTTCACTTGTAAAATCACATTTACCTGATATGTCCATCAAACTAGCTTTAAACAATTATCTTTTGTGGAAAGCACAGGTTATTCCTGTCTTACATAGCCATGGTCTTCTTGGATACGTGAAGGATGAAGTTCCCTGCCCGGTGTCAACTATCATTAGTGAGAACAATGAGTTGCAAACAAATCTAGTTGCAGCAGTGTGGCTGCACACTAATCAATTGATCCTTGGATGGATCAATAATTCCCTATTTGATTGACCTCTTTTTCAAGTCATCAATAGTAAATCTTCACATGATGCATAGTAAGTGTTAAAGACTTTTTATGGTACTCACACTCGAGATCACATCCAACAAATCAAAGGTGAACTATAGTCCCTGACCAAAGGTACCTCTTCATTGGAAGATTATTTACATAAAGAAAAATCTTTGGCCTTGTCTCTTTGTGGTGCAGGAAAACCAATGGATGATGATGAATTCATCATTTGTATTCTTTAAGGATTAGGATTTGAATTTGATCCTATAGTAGCAGCATTAAATGCTAGAGATTTCTCTCTATGTCTTGAAAGAGTTATTGGCAAACTCTGCAACTTTGAAATTCAAATTCAAGGAGCAAGAACAACTGCTCCCTCTATGGCTTTTTATACAAATTGTAGCCGCATAAACTCAAAGTCATAGATAAACTCCAGCACTCAAGGCTGTAATAATCGCAATTTCACTTGAAAAAATTCCACCAGCAGTACTTCATCATTACGAGCTAAAAAGACTCGTTTTCCTCACTAAAATGGAAGCTTTACTAGAACTCGTCAGAAACAAACCTCACATAATGATAATCATGGATGTGGTGGCATCACTTGTTTTCAATGTGGGGGACCTAATCATAAAATAGGTAGATGTTTTGTGTCTAATGAAGAAGCTAATTAGTATAAAGTCTTTACTGCTATCAAAATTGGATATGGTATTCTACACTGGGCCAAACTAGTATGTGACATGTAACACAAATAAAGTTCAAGGTATTATCTCTTATCTTGAAAATAATTCTATTATGGTTGACAATGGTCAGGACTTACCTATCACCAGTACTGGGCACATCATTCTTCTCACACTAATCTCAAGCTAACATGCTTGTGGTTTCTACAATTAAGAAGAAACTATAATATGTGTCTCAATTAACAAGAGATAATAACTGTTATTTTCTGTTTTATCTATAAAGATTTGTTTTTAAAGACATGAAGATGAAGCAGGTAATTCTTAAAAGTCTCATGAAGGATAGGTTATCGTATCAACCTGCAGTAATTCTCCACATCTCCAGTCAGTTTTTTAGCAAATAAAGTGTTTAGCAACTTGTGGCATGCATGACTTGGTTATCCTCAAGCCGCATTCTTACAAAGTTATGTTTACCATCTATGAATAAACAAAATGCTTTCTATGAAGGTTGTGTTTTGAGAAAATCAACAAAGTTACCATTTGAATCTAAAAGTCATATGCTACCTTTATACTACCTTTTTTATCTGTATACACTTCATTTAGATGTTTGGAGCCCTGCATATGTTTATTTTTATGATGGCCATTGGTTTTATTTAATTATTGTTGATGAGTATTCCGGACATATATGGTTCTTTTCTATGAATTGAAAATACGATGTAGCAACAATATTTCCTTCATTCCTTAAGCAAATGAAAACACAGTTTGATATTCATATTAAAATAATTCAAAGTAACGGGGGTGGTGAGTTTGTTAATCAAAGTCTATAAAATCTTTTCAAAATTAATGATATCATTCTTAAATTTTCATGTTCAAAAATACCAAAATAAAATGGATTGGCTGAATGACGTTATTGATATATTGTAGAAACACAACCTTCATAATTTTCATAATTCTTCACACAAATCAAGTGTGTATATATATATATATATATATATATAGTAAGAATCAATGACCTGTAATATATGCAATGCCATTTAAGGGAAGAACAATACATAGAAATGCAAGGTCAGCTTTTCCTATAGTAAGAAACAAATAACGTGACCATTGTGTATTGAAAGAAAGAAAAAGGATTAAATTGAGAATATCATATAACATGCCTGGTAAATATTATCATGAATTGTTGAATTGTTTAAGATGAGCCTAATAATTTTTCTATGAATAAATATTATCATGAACTTATTATTATATTTTATATGTTTTATAGGTTCCCACACTGCAAGACACGAATAGTCATAGAATTTAGAGTTTCTAGTTCGTTAGATATATTATTAATTGTATGCATTTTTCTTTTATGTAAAGAATTGAAGAAATTACTTAAAATGCTTGTAACTAACCACTTGTATTTAATCTTTTGTTTCATTTAGATTAGTTTCTTGAAGTTATCTTCTGCGCTACATTTTATATTTATAAAATGTTTAAATTTTAGGGAACAAGATGACACCTAGAAAAAAGATATAATTATTTAGAGTTATAATATAATGATGTGATGTTGTATTGAGATATAATTATTAAGATTGAAAAATAATTAAATAAACTGGAGCATGCTTGAGGCTGTCATGTGTTGGGTTTTATTTGTAGGAAATAAACTATTGAATAAATATTAAAATTTAAGAGGAAACTCTACCATAACTTTAATAGAATAAAAAACAATTACAAATAATACAATCATGGAATAAATGAATATGGGAAATGAATCATGCATATATATATATATATATATATATATATATATTCTAAATTATCATTAATTGTAATTATAATGTTAATTCCAAACTAGATTATCAATCGCCAATTGGAAAGCAATTGTAAATTTGGAAATTAATTTTAGTTCTAATCAAACAATTTCCATGCTAGAGGCTATTCCCTAGCATGACTGAGCATGTAACAGTAATTACAAATTTTGCCTGACCTGGATCTCAATACGGCTCAGCCCTGAGCCGAGGGTATTTAGCCGACATACGGCCGGGAATTCACTGCCCTCCAAAAAGGTTAAAAATACATGGCAAATTTGACTGGCCAGCGACTATTTTTAATCTAAGAGAGAATCATCTGCACGTGTCCAGCCTGCAGTGATGCAATTTTGGTGCGTAGCTCCCGTCCAAGGACAGCATTTATGACACATGTCAATTACCCAATAGGGACAGTCAGCTTGAAAGAAAAGTCAGCAGTCTTCTTCGAGGATGCATCGAAGGCGGCCATGGTTGATTTACAAGCAAGAAGTTTCTAGTTAGCCATCCTTGTAGCCATGGAGTCTCTCTTACGCAGCGTGTATGACCCGAAAAACCACTAGTCTTTTGTCTCTTTCATCCCCAAAGTTCAGACTGGAAATTAATCTTTTAACTGTAAAGTTCCGAAAGAGAATTAAATTCTAATCTCTGTGTTAATTGTTAAGGTTCTAGAACTTACAATTATTAAATAAATAAATAAAGACCTGCTTTGTTTTGTTTTCAAACTCTAGAAAGTGAAGCTCTTGAGGCCTAGGGATAACAAGAAACCCTTCTATTTAAATTCTAAAACACCCATCAAAATTGCCCTAGTTTATCATTTTTTTTAACAAATTCCAACGCTAGCTGGTCATCTTTTTTAAAAACATAGTAAGAAATTGCCCTAGTTTTGGCACTTGCCCTAGTTTTGGCACCTTATATATCTTATATGTCCATAAAAGCTATTAATACATGCCAACAACACTAATCCCGTATATGACTATACTTTCAATTCTCGATTTTAGGTGGTATCGTAGTCATCACGGTGAAGTCATCGAATCGAGAGGAAGACATTTCAACATTTTCTGGAGCTAATTTGCAGTTGGTACCATTTCCCCAACAGGAGTATAACATCAATAATTTTCCCTGAAAAATCAAAGTCGAAACAAGAAACAACCTACCCATTGTTTACTTCTTGCTAGCGACAATGACCCACAATGATGGGGGAAAATGGTATTTTGCAAGAAAAAAGCTGGCCTAAAGACATCCACAGAATACTTGCAACTTGTTATCTGCAAATAATTATCAAAAACAAAATCATTCCACTAAGTCTTTGTTCATAAGTAAAGAATGTTCAGACTAAGCTTTGAAAGGTCATAGCTCATAACAAAAAGCTAAAAGCAGAGAAAATAAATAGGCAACAAAAAAATTCGTTTGTATAAATCCCGTGTAAATCATTCAAGTAGAGATTACAGTCTTCATCGTAAAAGAAAAACACAAACAAAGACGTGGATAAAAATACAACGTCGATGTACCGTGTAGATTGCGGGGAAAAGAAGAGAATCAAGTTTTGTCAACATACAGTGAAGTCACTATTACAAAATTAATAAATAAAAATAAAAATATTAATAAAAATTTTTAATTGGTATATTGCTATGATGTTTACTGAAAAAAAAGTTTATTCATGTATCCAAATATAAACACTGATAGAAAGATTTTTCCAGTACATATTAAAGGAATTATAGTGAAAAAATAAAAAATAAAATAAAAGGTCAAATAGTATGATGATGTGTAACTTTTATAGACGACACAACCAACAAATTAACCTGATAGGAAAATGCATTTGTAAATATGCCGATGAAAAAATTCTCTCGATATATACCAAGAGAATTACAAAGGGTATTATAGTGAGATTAAAAAAAAATCATACGGTGACTGACATGATTAAAAGATTAATGTCTTTTTCTAAGTGTAGGAGTGTCGAAATAATAAATAACCCGGCAAGACCAGGGTCGAACCACAGGAGGGTTAATTGTACAAATTATAAACAATAATTATAAACAATAATTATAAACAACAACAATAACAACTATAGCAGCAGCACCAACAACAACAACAACAACAACAACAACAATAGTAATAATAGTAATAATAAAGAAAAAGAAGGAGAAGAAGATAATGATGATGATGAGAACTTCGAGATGGAATATTAATGAAAGGATTAAACAATGATAATAACAAATTTAGAGGTTCCACTAATGGTATGTCAAACAAGTATAGTATAAACTCTTATTATTCAATTAAAAACCACATACAAAGCAGGTTCCAATCAGATTATAGATTGTTAACATGATTACATTAGTCATCTTATTCGATTAATGCTAATACTTATAAATCTCGTTAAGCATTCATGATTATAACTTATGTTAATAACAAATCAAGTTCCTTTCATAGCTCAGGTGTCGGTTATACCATACAGTAAGAACTATAAAAGTGTCAAGCATTTGTTGTACCAAGTGTTATACAACATAAATCAAGATTAGTCATTTAACAAGCAAAGCATTAAAGAGTGAACAAGATAACAAATACAAAACATGTTAGTATCAAGCATTAAAGTCCATATTGAGTTTACATTATACTTATTCTTACACCATTAATGTAACCTTTTCACCTTGACATAATAAACTTAGCTAAACATAATGAAAGACAGAAAAATAAATAAACCAAATAAGAATATAAAGAAGATAAGAGTTAACTAAGTAAAGGAAAGGAAAGGAAAGGAAAGGAAAGGCATAAACTTGATATTAATAAAAGCAAAGCATAAACATTACAAAAAAATACAAAGAGAGAAAGCAAAAGCATGATCTCGATATAGAGATCAAGATGTCTAAATGCATGGCAAATACCTCCTTTTATAGGCCAAAATTGAAAACTATTGATTTGATGACTAATTGATGAGTGAGTGACCAACTCTTGACTTGGTAACAATTATTATCTTCTTTTGTCTCCTCAAAACATCATTGATAACATCAAAACTAGAGCCCCTTGAAAACATGAAAGTTGTAGGAAATTGTCTCAACTTTCTTATGAAAAAATTCAGGTCATTTGGACTTCTAGAACTCCAAATATGGGTCAAACACTGAACAGTGCTCGGGTCGAAAGACAGATTCGGACTTTGTTGTTGCTACAATTTGGATTTGAAAATGGCCTTTTTAAGTTTTGGGCTCCATGTGAAAGTTGTAGGCCTATGTCTTACCTTTTCATCCATATAAAGTAGACCTAAATCTGAGATCTATAGCTCCAGATATGACCCAAAGACTAAATAGTGTTCCGGTTTGGATTGCACCGACATCTCTTTTCTAAGTTTGGCCATGTTTTTGTCCTTTCAATTTCAGTTTTTAAATTCATCAATCAAACCTTTCATTTATGTGATAGGCCTGCATATAAAATGAACATTTATCATAAATTAAAGGTATCTTATATTATTAGATATATTATTATAAAACATGCTTTAGTTAAGGAGTTATTGATACTTCAAGTGCAAAATGATGATATAAAACCTTGATAAAAATACACTTTTAAGTACTAATCAGTGACGTGTTATTTAAGTAAGCAAATCTACCATCCTTTTATATATATATATATATACATATATATATATTTCAACTCAATTTTAAAATGTTAAAACATTTTTGGCATACTTTTGTAATATATGTATTTTGTTTAAGTGTTTAATTATTTTATAGTTTCTTCTCATAAAAATTTGTTGCTTAAATTAATGATTTATACATGTTAGGGTTTGTTTTAGATTTTATAAAATTCTATTTATTTGTAAATTGATGACATTTTGTTGGATTTTTAACTTAGGTGTTTTATAATGATATAAATAATGGCTAATATATCAAGTTGTTTTAGATTTTATAAAATTATATTTATTTGTAAATTAATGAAACTAATGTTGGATTTTTAACTTAGGTGTTTTGTAATGAAATAAATAATGGCTAATATATCAGGTTCGTTTTATATTTTATCAATTTTATTGCCAAGTTGAAATTTTTAATAAATGTGTAGAAATTTGAATTTATGTAGATAACTGATAATTAGTTTAGAGTATTATTAAAATAGATGGAATAGATTTGAGCTAAATTAATATTTTTGCAAATCTATTTCGTTAATGTAGTTAATTAATACATGTTATCATCGTTATTTTATATAAGTTTGATATAAATAATGGATGATTATTCATGAATATATATAGATTCACCCTAAAAGTTACAAAGGATGAATTATTATAATGGAGTTCAATATTTTATTAATTATGCACTTTTTAATCTAAGAAATGTTAGTGGAGTGGGTATTAGATGTCCATGCAAAAAGCGTAAAAATAAAAATTTTCTGAATCTAAATATTGTAACAATGCATCTTCTATGAAAAAATATTCAAAAAGAAATAAATGTATTTGTATGCACATAAAGAACCATATATTCCTCACGATATCATGGTAGAAAGGATGGTTGGGTCAACTCCTAGTTCTAGCAACGTATATGGAGTTGTAGATGAAAATAGTAATTCATATAAAAATATGGTTATGGATGTGATGAGAATGAATCAGGGTCATGCTAGTCAATTTTCAATCATAAATAAAAAACCTAAATGTAGACATGGTCAGGTTTTTTTTATCTTTTGAAAGATTTTTATGATTCATTATGGGATGGTAATACAAATCACAATAAATTATCGGTTGTTACATAGGTGTTCACCATCAAGTCAAATTATGAGTTGAGTAAGATCGGTTATAACAAAATTATCGAATGGACGAGAAGCATTTTTACTAGAAAGGAACACATAGAAAAAGAATTTTTATGATGCTAAGTCCATGATGAAACCCCTAGGTTTAGGATAGAAAATTGATATATGTCCAAACTTTTACATAGTATACTACCTTTAAAATACAGAGTTGCTTGATTGCAGAACATGTAGGCATTCTTATTATAAACCTATGACTAATAAAGGAAGGACACTTTTTGCACACAAAAAACTTAAATACTTTTTCATCACACCTAGATTGCAAAGGTTATTCATGTCACCAAAGACTACTGAGCACATAACATGGCACAAATCACATGATGTTATGGATGGAGTGATGGTGCACTCTTTTAATAATAAAGCTTGGAAAGACTTTAACAATATGCATATTAACTTTTCAATGAAGATGAGGAACATGCATCTTCAGTTATATACATACAAATTCAATCCATTCGGATCATTTGACACTCACGGTTTACAACTTGCCATCAAAGATGTGTATGAAGTCAAAATTCATTGTTTTATCTACAATCAAACTTAATCCAATATAGGAACTGTTTACTTCTCAATGCACTGATAATTAATATTCTTTTGATTATTCACTTTTGTTTTCCCAACGACATCACCGACAAAATGAGAAGTTATCGATAATATTTGGAGGGGGCTTTCTGAAACTTTTCATGAAAGTTAATGAAAAGTTAAAAATACTCATTTGACCTTACTAACGAAATGAAAAGTCATTGATAATTCCATCAATTAAACTAAATTAAAATATTAGAATCAGAATAGACAGGGCTTCATCTTCTTCTTTCTTCTTCTCTCATAGAGTCGTTCCTCTCTCTTTATCTTCTCTTCTCTCTCTTCTTCTTAGCCAAAATCAAGCAATCTCTTTTCTTCTCATCCTCAAGTATGTTGCCTTTCTTAATTTTTTTTTCTTTTTTTTGGTTTATTAACAATCTCTTTTCTTTTCTTTTCTTTTTGTTTTTTTAATTATCAGTTGTAATTAAGCACACCATTAAGGTAAGAATTTTTCATCCCTTTTTTCTATTTTTTTTGCATTATTTTTTTGTCATTATTTTTGTTCAATTTTGTGTTCTTAATAATTTTATGAATTAATAAATGTATTGAATTTTAGTTTTTATTGAAATAATTTTTGCATTATTTAGTTGAGTTTTAGTTTTTTTTTCAAATTTGTTGTTCAATTTCAATTAAATGTGTAGGATTAATTTTAATTATTATTTTGTATTTAATCCATTTAGAATAATTTTTTTCTCAATTTAGGATTAAAAATATTATCACTTAGAAATAACTATGTTAAATTTTAGTTGTTGCAATAATTTTTGCATTATTTTGTTGAATTTTAGTTTTTTTTTTCAATTTTGCTGTTCAATTTCAATTAAATATGTAGGATTACTTTTAATTATTATTTTCAAATTTTGTAAACTTGGGATTTAAAATATTATCATGTACAAAATGAAAAGTTTTTACGAAATTGAATTATGCTACATTGTTAGGAGAAATTGAATAAAATCAACAGGTTTATAGCATATATATTTTGTTTTTGCAATTAAAATTTGTTTTGGTAGTCTCCTGTATAGAGAATAGGTTATTGATTTTTAAAGAAATATAGGAATCGTTTAATTTTTTTGTATATACTAATTTGTGTAGATGCCTAGGTGAAAGTCTATTGCACATTGCTAGGACATGATCGCTACTAGTTTTTCTAGGAGCAATTCTTACGACAACGAGTCATTAGGTGCCGACCAAGAGCAGACACTTAAGGCACATGCATTGACTCGCAATACGAGCTTGTCAAGTGTGATGTCGCAACATCGAGTAGGGTCCCTTCATAGCTAGATCTATTTCCTGGCAAGTACGAGGACTAATAGAAGGATGACCTTTCAATGTAAGTTTTTTTGTTTTTATCATGGCATGTTTAATAATTTTTGAAAAAGTAATTTTATTTAACAAATATAATTTCAGGTTTACAAATATTGAAACTGTAAGAATAATAACATCGGCCTTTAAATTGCTTATGGAAATTCTATTGTTTCAATAGAGCTATCATAACCCATTTTTTTATTATTCCCCAATTTATTTTTTTCTCTCTCTCTTAAAAAAATACAAAAAAATTAAAAATAAAATAACATAAATATAATAGTTTGAAGAGGATGCTAGAGTGCTCAGAAAATAATTAAAAATTGGTTGAGAAGGTTCAATAATACAAAGATTAAAATTTTACAATATTTTGTTGACTGATGAGAGCCTCGTTGACAAAGAAAATTCAATTTAAGAAAGAAAAATTAGATATTTATAGACTCAATTAAATTTTATTAAAGGTTTAATTGAATTTATGAAGGTTTGATTGCAAGAAAAAAAATGATTTTGATGTCAATTTGGGCTTTAATTGGAAGACATTAAAGTTCTAGGGTCAAATTATAATTTTTTAGAGTTAATTTGGTCAAATCAAGGGCTTAATTACATAAATATTGAAGTTTGATGGCCAATTAACGACTTAAATGAAGAAATTCAAAATCAATGACCAAAATGAAAAAAAAATACATAAATAAAGGAGCTGTAATTAAACCGAATCAGGGGCTAAATTGAAGATATTAAAAATTTATTGCTTAATTAAGGGTTAAATTGCATAAATTCAAGATCAAGAACTAAACTGAAAAAAGCAACCAACTTTAGGGTTGTTGTTTGATTTTTGACAAGGATGCAATTGCATTGATTTTATAATCAAAATTGCAATTTAGAACTTGATTGAACAAATTGAAAATTGATTAGACTTTGATATAAGTTTTTGCTGCCTTTTTCTTTTAAATAAAATGACGTGTTCTGTCCAAAATGGCGTTGTTTCATCCACTATTCAAAAAACAAAAAAAAGCCCGAAATGGTACTGTTTTTAACGACACTGTAGACTTTCTTCTACCTCTGGACATGCAGAGAAACAGGGGAAGGGAGTTGGGTTCCCCTGTATTTTCACCACCTTTTCTTCCTCTTTTTAGCATCAAAAAGACGCTGATCAAGAACCCCTACTTGCCCAAAACTTTCCACATGTTGGAAGGGTGGTGGAGGGGTGGCAGCACAGTGGCCACCCCAGTCTCTTTCTCCTTTTGTTTTTGCCTATAAAAA